TCTCTGAAGTTAAGGTCATATTATCTCTGAAGTTAAAGTCATATTAACTTTAAAGTTAAAGTCATATTAAATCCAAGTTAAAGTCATATTAACTTCAAAGTTAGTCATATTAACTCTGAAGTTAAAATCATATGAACTCTGAAGTTAAAGTCATATTAACTCAGGAATTAAAGTCGCATTAACTCTGGAGTTAAAACCACATTAACTCGGAAATTAAAGTCATATCAACTCTTTAGTTAAAGTCATATTAACTCAGGAATTAAAGTCATATTAACACTGGAGTTAAAGTTATATTAGCTCTTTAGTTAAAGTCATAGTTATTCTGAAGTTAAAGTCATATTAACTCCGAAGTTAAAGTTATATTAACTTTGAAGTTAAAGTCATATTATCTCCGAAGTTAAAGTCATATCAACTCTGAAGTCAAAGTCATATTAACTTTGAAGTTAAAGTCATATTAACTCTTAAGTTAAAGTCATATTAAATCCAAGTTAAAGTCATATGAACTTCAAAGTTAGTCATATTAACTCTGAAGTTAAAACCATATTAACTCTTAAGTTGAAGTCATATTAACTCAGGAATTAAAGTCACATTAACTCTGGAGTTAAAATCACATTAACTTGGAAGTTAAAGTCAGAGTAACTCTTTAGTTAAAGTCATATTAACTCTGGTTTAAAGTCATATTAGCTCTTTAGTTAAATCCATAGTTATTCTGAAGTTAAAGTCATATTAACTCTTAAGTTAAAGTCATATTAAATCCAAGTTAAAGTCATATTAACTCTGAGGTTAAAGTCATATTAACTCCAAAGTTAAGGTCATATCAACTCTGAAGTTAGTCATATTAACTTTGAAGTTAAAGTCATATTAACTCTGAAGTTAAAGTCATATTAACTCTTAAGTCAAAGTCATATTAAATCCAAGTTAAAGTCATATTAACTCCAAAGTTAGTCATATTAACTCTGAAGTTAAAACCATATTAACTCTTAAGTTGAAGTCATATTAACTCAGGAATTAAAGTCACATTAACTCTGGTGTTAAAATCACATTAACTTGGAAGTTAAAGTCAGAGTAACTCTTTAGTTAAAGTCATATTAACTCAGGAATTAAAGTCATATTAACTCTGGTTTAAAGTCATATTAGCTCTTTAGTTAAAGTCATAGTTATTCTGAAGTTAAAGTCATGTTAACTCTGAGGTTAAAGTCATATTAACTTTAAAGTTAAAGTCATATTAACTCTGAAGTTAAAGTAATTAACTCTCATATAAACTCCGAAGTTAAAATCAAATTAACTCTGAAGTTAAAATCATATTAACTCTGGAGTTAAAGTCATATTATCTCTGAAGTTAGTCATATTATCTCTGAAGTTAAAGTCATATTAAATCCAAAGTTAAAATCATATTAACTCTGAAGTTAAAATCACATTAACTCTGAAGTTAAAATCATATTAACTCTGAAGTTAAAGTCACATTAACTCTGGAGTTAAAATCATATTAACACAGAAGTTAAAGTCACATTGACTCTTTAGTTAAAATCATATTAACTCAGGAATTAAAGTCATATTAACTCTGGAATTAAAGTCATATTAGCTCTTTAGTTAAAGTCATATTAACTCTGAAGTTAAAATCATATTAACTCTGAAGTTAAAGTTATATTAACTCTGAAGTTAAAGTCATATTAACTCTGAAGTTAAAGTCATATTAACTCCAAAGTTAAAGTCATATTACCTCTGAAATTAAAGTCATATTAACTCTGGAATTAAAGTCATATTAACTCTGGAGCTACAGTCATATTACGATATTATCTTATTATTAGTTGACTTGAAAGCAGAGTCACTCATTCTGTCAACATCCTCTGGTTCAAATTAAAGTGCTGAAGGTCTGATAATGTGCAATTTTAACATGATTGAAAATACATGTTGTAGTTCAAATAAGAGACTGAGTGAGCCGCAGGGGCTGCTGGGTAATGTTGAGACTGAAAGGGGTGGACTTTTTCAGGTTCTGTGTTCAGATGTTCTGTTGGTTCTGTTTAGTGTTGGGTTGTTGTTTCTGTTCAGGTTGTCGTTAGTGACTGTAAAAACGACACCATGAGTCAGATGTTGTATAAAAAGAGGAGAAGCACTTCTTGTCAGTGAGTTACTGAATTGTGAGACTAAATAATAGTGTGATGTAATCAAACTTTCAACGTTATTTTAATCTTAAAGGAGCTTAAACCACTAGTTCACTGCTGATAAATTGTTTGCAGAAAAATGTTTGTGATTCTCTGAAGGTTTGGAGCTTTGACTTGTTTTAAAACGACAACAATACACTTTGGTCTCAGCTGTGTTCAGACTGAGCTCGTTCAAAGAGCTATGTACAACAGGTAAGATAATAACTGTTCAGAACTTTTGCACAGAACTCTCCTTCAAAATGCAAGAAACATCCCTTTATCACTCAGAGTGTGACTGCTAATAATAGGAAACTTTTAGAATAAAACACCCGAGAATACAAACAGATGAAAGTTTGTTGGGCCCTAAAAGAGTTGAACTTGAAGAAGTTTTCATTGTCATCTTTTCCTTTCAGCTTCAGTCACTTTGAATTTTTATATCTGGTGAAACGACATGTTGAATCTGTGCAAAGAGACAATTAGTAGACAGAAAGTGGTTCTGTTTTGAACTGCCTACATGCAGAGCAGCATTTGACAACTAGTAGTAAGATAAGAAAGCTCCTGGCCTCAACATGAATCAGATCAGTTTTAGAATAAAGAACGGTCTAACAAGGAGCTTAACGATGTTAGCTGCACTCTGTAATCATCTCGTTACTTCCTACGAGAGTTTCCACGGCAGACTGGGTTTGACCATGAAATATGGGTTCAAATGTACATCAATGCTATGGCTTCAAACACCAGAGGTTTGAGCACAAAACACACAAAAAAGGGTCCAAAAATAGTTTTGGTGGAAACGAACTGTGAGAAGTTTGAAGCAGAAAAGATTGTGGAGAAAAATGGAAAAAGAAAGTTCACTCTCTTAATCCTAGGGTTTTAATAAATCTGGAATTGTTTCATTTTATGTTTTTTTTAAGTCAGGAAGTCAGTAAGTAAGTCAGACAAAAAACAAAAGTAAAACGATTTTTATGCTTTATCAGAAAAAAAACTGACTGCATCAAATTAAATAAATAAAAACACAAATAAAATTAACCATGTGGTTGACTTTTCCCCCACAAAGTATTCTGAAGGTTAAAGAGGGTGGACTTTGTTTTCCCATGACTGATCTGCTTCAGAACCAACGCTGACAGATCATTAATGAATATATCTGACTGAACCAGTCTGTGCATGAGGTTTGAACTTGTGAACAAAAGACAAACACGTTCTTCATCTTTTGACTGATCATCAAAACAGTTATCAGCTAATACTGTATTTTTCGGCATGTAAGTCGCAGTTTTTTGCACAATTTACATGCCCTGCAACTTATAGGCCGAAGCAACATATTTATGGATTTTTTCCCATATTTATAAACTAATTTTTGGGGAGTGGTGGCGCAGAGGTTAGAGAGGTGGGCCTGTGATCCGAAGATCGCCGGTTCACGCCCCGGCCCCGACAACATCAAAATTGTGAGTGGGGTAGGTGAAACATCCACACTTGCCCCCACCCTCATTCGCCCCACTCTGGGCCCATGAGCAAGGCCCTTAACCCCCAACATGTGCTCCCTAAACAGGTCTCTCTTGAAAATGAGTTCTCGTGGCTCAATGAGACTACCTGGATAAATAAAGGCTAAATAAAAAAAATAATAATAATAATAATTTTTGGCTGATCGTTTCCATTCATTCTGACTGGGGAAAAAAAAAAGAGCAGTACCACTTTCAGCCACTTGATGAGAGCAGAGTATTAATAGTTGTATGGCATGCTGTTGTATCATGTAATAGGTAAACGTGGCTATAATGACAAATTCAAAAAGTTCAAGACAAAAACAACTGGACTTTATTTATTATACTATATTTTATACTTCGTTGTTTTTTTCTTGAACTTTTTTGAATTTACCATGTCCTGGATGACTGAGAATCTTCACCAGCTATTAATGACTCACTCGGCCTGCCTCAGACTCCCCACCTTCATTCTGCTCTCTGCTTGGAACTGTCAAAACAGCTGCACCACCACAGCGAAATGCAGCTGTTTTGACCATTAAAGTGCATTTATTAAGCAAATGTTAGACTGAGACACATCTTTGCTATAATTTCAAGCAAATAAATAATTGTTTAGGTACTTTTCTTGTTAAATTTCAGAAAAACGAACCGCGTTCCTCCTCCCTTTTTCTCGTCCCCTGCGCGTTCATGGAGCACTGAGGCAGCAAACTATTTTTTAAATACAGCTGATTTGACCATTAAAGTACATTTATTAAACAAATATTAGACTGAGACACACATTTACTAAAATTTCAAGCGAACAAATAATTGTTTTTAAGTGTTAATCTAGTTAAATTTTTGTTAAAAGTCCTCCCGTGCACGCTCCTGCGGCCACCATTTGGCAGCCCATCAGCTTTAGGTACAACACCGGTTCACATTTCCGGGTTGCCAGCAGTGACGCGTAACAAACGCGACACGCCAGCGGTGACGCATAATAGATGAGACGTATACGGCGAAGCGACGTATTTCCACTTTATTAGACAAATATGGACTGATGTGACTTGTAGGGCGGAGCGACGTGTCCGCCGGAAAATACGGTAGATGTTTCTCTGAGAACAACTGAAAGCTGCGAGTTCTCAAATTTCACAGATTCTCTAGAGATTCTTATTGTGAAATAATACATTGTTGGTTTAATTTAAAAAATGCTGCGCGTTTGAGTGAAATGAGAGAAAACACGAAAGGAGAAAAAGTTTTCTCACCAGCTCGCCCTCACTGCCTCGATGTCACTCACTAAGTTCTGGGCCAAACAGATCCCAAAAATCTGCAGATTGAGAAAAATGATCAATTAATCAATAGAGAAACAATAAAAAAAATCCTTGTAAAGAAGCAAAATGGACCTGGAGCAAAGCGACTCCGATGAAGATCCCGGCCACCAGGGTGAGGTTGTCCTGCAGCCACTTCTCGAACTGTGGCACGCAGCCTTTCACGTTGATGTAGTCCTTCTGCTCCGAGTCCTGCAACACCTCAAGCTTTAACACATCCAGTCTGCTAACTTCACACAAAACCTCAAGCTATGAAGTTTACCAACATGTGCTCTGGATTATTCAGATTACTGCCATGGAGGCCTTAAAGGCAGTAGTCTGAGTTACAGGATGGTTACTCACAGGCTTGGCACGGATGTCATATCCACACTGGGTGTTTATTACGTCCTCCTAAAGACAAAAACAAAAACATTGATCCAGTTTAAAAAGCTGCCATCAAACAAGAACCAGAACCACTTTGACCCAGACTCTGTGATCTGAGGCTTGAATAAGACACAGGATGCCCTGCTGCAAGAATAAAGTATTTGTTTTTGCCCGTTTTTATTTTTTTATATACTTTTAACTTTCTCTGCGTACTTAAGAGTTATTTTAGACGTTTAAACCCAGTATCAGAAGGTTGATCTCGTCCAGGAGATGACAGCTGGGGACTTTTAGGTTTGTCACTTTTGAACTTTCCGAAAGGTTTAACTTCATTTACTAATATTTCTCCTACAGAAAAACATGAAGATAAGTGAGGTGTCGACTTCATGGTGGTGTGTGGCTGCATCTAGGTGTAAGAAAGTTCACAAATGAAAATTAGGTTGCCATGTCAAAATCCAAGATGGCCACCAGCCACCATATACATACTGCAGATGTAAACCGACCTCCACTATCCTTTGAAGAAACTAAGATTTCTAGTTTTTATATTGCTTAAAAGTATAGTTTCCACAAATGACTGGGGTGGCTAAAGAATATTATGTAGGGGACAAGGCCATCGCTGGACACCCCCTGGCTGCGCCTCCGCCCCTGGTTGTTGGATGAAACTGCCCCCTCTACTCAACAGGATCCATCACTCGGCGCTCTGTCTCTGTCACACACACACACACAACACACACACACCGGTTTGTTTTGCTATCTTTGTGGGGCCTTTGCATTGACTTCCATTCATTTTTCATTCATTTCTATAGCCTAACCATGACCTTTATCCATAACCTAACCATTACCAGTACATACCTAACCCTAAACCTAACACATCCTCAATTCACACCTTAGTCCTAAACCTAGCCCCTAACCCACGAACGGGACTTCTTCTTATGGGGCCCGGGCTTTGGGCCCCATAAGGAGCAGTTGGTCCCCACAATGTAGTATAAGTTGGAAAAATGGGCCTCACAAAGTAGCATAAACAAGGACACACACACACACACACACACACACACAACACACACACACGGCCGTGGCCATCTTGGATTTTGAAGAGGTAACACATTTTTCAAAATGAATCTTTCTTACGGGTGGCACGGTGGCTCAGTTGGTAGAGCGGCTGCCTCTCAGCAGGAAGGTCGCCAGACCAAACACAGGCCCGGGGCCTTTCTGGGTGGAGTTTGCATGTTCTCTCTGTGCATGTGTGGGTTTTCTCCAGGTACTCCAGTTTCCTCCCACAGATCAAAACCATGCATGTTAGACTGATTGGTAACTCTAATGTGTCTCTAGGTGTGAGAGAGAGTGAATGGTTGTTTGTCTCTATGTGTCCCTGTGATGGACTGGAGACCTGTCCAGGTGTCCCCTGCCTCTCACACAGTGATAGCTGGACATGGGCACCTTTGACCCCCGCAGCCACAAAAGGAAAAGATAATGGATGGATCTTTCTTACTCCTAGATGCAGCCACACACCAAAATGGAAGTTTCTACCTCACTTATTTTTCAAGTTATCATTGTCACAACATTGTTGGACAGACGAAGGGTAATTCCCCCTCGTCGCTCTGCGACAGGGACAAAGAGCCAAACATCTGATGTGTGATCCAACAAGGAGCAGCCAGGTCCTCTGGACTCCACCTCGTTAGACTTATCTACCCAGATGACTGAGCAGGCAGCAGAAAGGGTGGAGTTGTACCGCCGGGTCCTTCGTGCAGCAGGAGAAAGGAACTCCACACTTTTCCCGACTGGGGTTTCCATCAGTGCAGTTAAAGTAGATGTTCAGGTTCCAGTCGTCTGCTCCGAATGCACCGCAGCACTCCCACTAAAGTCAGAGGAGAAAACCACATTAACAACTCCTGGAGACCTGCATCATGGGACACTTCAAAGAAATCATCACAAAAACATCCCTTCTTCCTGACAGAAGCACCGCTATATCTGTTTTACTCTAAATGACCACGTTTTAACTGCTGGACTTACATAATCCTGAGTGAAATCGATCAGGTTCTGCAGGTCGATGTCGTCCCTGTATGCCCGGATGTTGTTGTTGATGAACAGGTTCAGCTGGTCTTTGATCCAGTCTTTGAAGACAAAGGCCAGAATCCCCGTCGTCAGCTCCAAGAAGAAGATGATTCCAAGAAACACGGAGAACTAGAGAAGAAGGATCAACGTGAGACAGGTGCAAACAAAAAACCTGTTCTTTTGCCATGTGCAGAATATTACGTACAAATTTCAGTAAAAACGTGTTTTCCCGAAGTGCTCCAATGCATCCGGCAAAGCCCAGAATGAACATGACTCCTCCAACCACCATGAAGAGCCAGACCGGGTCCAGACCCCCCAGATCTGTGATGGACGAGATGTTGGATAGAACCCCCTAGAGAACCACACAGAACCAAAGAACCCGCTCAGAGGGAGTCAGACCGACAAGCTCGATGAGACAGAAAAAAACAAAGGACTTGGTGGGAGTTAGTTTGACTTTCATCCTCTTTTATATTTACCGGTAATATTAATGATTATATTAATAATATCTGTAGAAGTGTTCATTCATAGAGTTAAATCTTATAACAGTGGATGAAGGTCACCCATGAAAGGAAAAAATGTTAGAAATTAAAGTTAGAATTTTTAAATACCACTTGGCAGAAACATGACAATGACTCAGTGGATTTTACAATTAATGAGCTAAAACTGTGTGGTAGTCGCTGACAGTCGTGCACAAATTAGAAGAAATTTTTTTTTAATTTTTTAAGTTGGAAACTTTTCATACAATATTTTATTTGTAATACAACATAGATGGCAGATCAAAAGTTTAATCTGAGTAAATGTAACATTTTAAGGGAAAAATCTGTTGTTTCCAAATTTCATGGCATCAACAAATCCCCAAAAAGTTGGGACAAGTGCATTTTTACCACTGTGTGGCATCCCCCCTTCTTCTTACAACACTCAACAGACGTCTGAGGACAGAGGAGACCAGTTTCTCAAGTTTAGAAATAGGAATGCTCTCCCATTCATGTCTAATACAGGCCTCTAACTGTTCAATCGTCTTGGGCCTTCTTTGTCGCACCTTCCTCTTTATGATGTGTCAAATGTTCTCTATAGGTGAAAGATCTGGACTGCAGGCTGGCCATTTCAGTACCCGGATCCTTCTCCTACATAGCCATGATGTTGTGATTGATGCAGAATGTGGTCTGGCATTATCGTGTTGAAAAATGCAGGGTCTTCCCTGAAAGAGATGACGTCTAGATGGGAGCATATGTTGTTCTAGAACCTGAACATAGTTCTCTGCATCAATGGTGCCTTTCCAGACATGCAAGCTGCCCATGCCACAAGCGCTCATGCAACCCCATACCATCAGTGATGCAGGCTTCTGAACAGAGCGTTGATAACAACTTGGGATATCCTTGTCCTCTCTGGTCTGGATGACATGGCGTCCCAGTGTTCCATAATCGTGACTCATCTGACCACAGAACAGTCTTCCATTTTGCCACACTCCATTTTAAATGACCCCTGGCCCAGTGCAAACTAGGGATGCACCGATCCACTTTTTATACTACCGATCCAATCCCAATACCCAAGTCTGAGTATCGGCCGATACCGATCCAGTTCCGATATCATCATCATCATTGATTTTATATGAGGCTGTAATAATCTCCTCTCAAGTACAATTTGTACAAATATATGCATGCATGGCCAAAAAGGCAACTTGAGGTAAGTTGTTAATGTTGGATAAGTTTTAAAGTTAGAATTAAATTCTGCTAACACAAAACATGTTTTTTATTCCTAGTTTTAAAGTGGATATTAAAGTGATTAATTTAAGTGATTGTTTAAAGGTATTTTATATTTTATTAAATAAGGGGCAGATATAAGAATTTTTTTCTTCTTACTGCACTCTTTTCATTCAATGTTTTCTTTTTGATCTTTTTTTTTATTGTTTCTTTTAAATGAATGAATAAATGAATAAAATAAAATAAAATAAAATGTTAAATGGCTTCAAACACCTGGCATAAACGAATAGACATGTTCCTGTTTTTAGTATTTTACATCACTTTATAATGTAGCTGTTTTTGTTTTTAATATAATTTTCAATTTATATGTTTTTTTATGATTGTCTACTGTTGTACTGATAAATATCTCCTGGAGGGTAAACTATATCTTGACTCCAAGTATCAAGCTGAGAAATCCTTTGTTTTCTACAACTGATAGTGGTTGGTCATTAATTATGATGAAGTTTAGCAACTTCTCTGTAAACATTTGAGCTCCGTGGTTTCAGCGATGTCTACTTTTCTTGTTCAATCTGAAGCAGGCAGCCTGATTTGGGGCAGCCGCGCTCAGTCTGTCCCTCCTCGTAGACGGGCAGACTGAGCGGGGCAGATTGGACACGGCTGACCGGGGTCAAGTTGGCCGCCCCAGGTTGAGCAAAGAGCAGCGCCCCGCTGAAGCCACGGAGCTCGAATGTCCATCGTAAAACTAACTTTACTGCGGTTTAATGTGGTGCTATGGCTCTGCAGACATTGCAAGTTGCTGCATTGTGGTGTTTCTAGTGTAAAATATTTCCACACAGTGGACATGTTTAGATGAAAAGTTTGTTAGCTGTTAGCCACAGTGCTGCTAACTCAGTCCTCACATTGTAGCTGGCTGCAAACTATGAACTGGATTTCCTGAATGTCAGAGTCAGAGTTTCTTTATTGTCATTCGCACCTCATGTGGTGGAGCGAAATTATGTACACGGGGTCCCAGTTACATCCAACAATAAAATGTCTAAGAAAAACAGTAATAACATCTAAGATATGAACTAAGAAAAACATCAACTAAATATACACTAAGCACTCATAACATAAAACATTGAACATCAGCACAAACATGAACATGAGTCTGTGAGCAGTATCAGGTTTATACAACGTCGACCCCCAAAGTAGCAGACCAAGGAAGCAAGGACACGAGGCAGGTAAAAAGGTAAGTGATATTTATTTACAGGTGAAGATAAAACTCGAACAGCTGTAAGGGAAGGGGAGAGATGGTGAATATATATCCTCTTGGTGGATGATGATGATGATGATTGATAAATCAAGAATTGATCCTTACTTGTTATTGTTTCAGGAGATGGTTGAGGAGGAGCAGAGAGTGGGATCCTGGGTGTGAGGAGGAATCCAGAGGAGAGTAGCAGGTTGACCCAGACAGAGTGGTGGATGTTGTTGCTGGAGACGAGACATCAAAGGTCCACAGGAAGGAGTTCCAGTGGAGGGAGAAGTCCTAGGGAGGACCAGAATGAACCAGGCCGTGGAAGGTCCGATTGTCAGAAGATGTCCCAGCACTGGAGAGGAGGCTGGCAGCTGCTTAAGTAGGTGAGTAGCAGTACTCCTCAGATTGGTGGCAGGTGTGACGAGTTGGGTGATTAGCTGTGGAGGGAAAGTGACAAACAGACACAAACAGACAGAGGGAAACCAGGAATCCCACAGTGCCCCCCCCTCAAGGATCGCCTCTCGGCGATCTAAGCCGCTTTTCAGGGTGAGCCTTGAAAAAGGAGGTGATAAGGCCTGCGTCCAGGATGCGAGACCTAGGGACCCAGGAGCGATCTTCAGGACCATACCCCTCCCAATCTACCAGATATTGGACGCCCCGACCCCTGCGTCTCACGTCCAGGAGACGTCTGACGGTGAACGCAGGCGCGTTATCAATCATCCGGGGGGGAGGAGGGGCTCTAGAGGGAGGCTGAAGAGGACTGGAAACAATGGGTTTGACTTGGGACACGTGGAAGGTCGGGTGTATCCTCATGGATGGAGGGAGTTGAAGCCGCACCGCCGACCTGTTCAGCACTCTCACAACAGGGAAAGGACCTATAAACCTGGGAGAGAGTTTCTTGGGGAAGTCCTTCAATGAGATGTCCCGAGTCGAAAGCCAAACCTTCTGACCGACCTCATATCTGGGGGCCTCGGAGCGGTGTCTGTCCGCGAAACGTTTGTTCTGCTCAGAGGACCTGGCCAGAGCCGCCCTAGTCTGTCGCCAGACCCGACGACAGCGCTTGAGGTGAAGGTGTATCGAGGGAACGCCCACGTCGGCCTCCTGAGAAGGGAAGAGAGGAGGGGAAAATCCCAAAGCCACCTCAAATGGAGATCGTCCAGTGGCCGCCGAGGTCTGCGAGTTGTGGGCGTATTCGATCCACGGGAGATGCTGGCTCCAGGATGATGGGTTGGAACCGATCACACACCTCAAGACAGCCTCCAGATCCTGGTTACATCTCTCCGTCTGGCCATTGGATTGGGGGTGGTATCCCGAGGTGAGACTGACCGTAGCCCCCAAAGCTTCACAGAACCCCTTCCAGACTTGGGAGATGAACTGAGGGCCCCGATCAGACACAATGTCCAATGGAATGCCATGGAGGCGGAAGACATGCTCCGTGACAATCTGTGAGGTCTCGAGAGCAGAGGGGAGTTTGGGGAGAGGAATGAAATGAGCAGATTTGGAAAAACGATCAACTATGGTGCAGACGACAGTGTTACCATTGGAGACGGGGAGGCCAGTGACGAAATCCAAGGCGACGTGGGACCAAGGACGAGTGGGGATGGAGAGAGGAAGAAGAAGGCCAGCAGGGGGTTGATTGTTGTTCTTGTTTTGGGCGCAGGTAGGGCAGGAAGAGACGAACTCCTTAACGTCCTTCTGCATGTTTGGCCACCAGAAGGAAGCTTTTGTCAGGTGGAGCATGCGTCGTATACCGGGGTGACAAGAGAAACGAGCAGTGTGGAGCCACTCCAGAACCTTGCCCACCATGGAGGAGGGAACGAACAGCCGTCCAGGGGGACCCGAACCAGGATCAGGTTCGGTAGTTTGGGCCTCCAGGATGTCCCTCTCGATGGGCCAAGTTACAGCTCCCACCTTGCAATAGGACGGGAGGATGTCTTCGGGAGTTCCGGAATCCTCGGTTGACGAGAATTGTCGAGAGAGGGCGTCCGGCTTGACGTTCCGAGATCCTGGGATATAGGTTATGGAGAACTGAAAACGGGAAAAGAACAAGGACCACCTGGCCTGTCGGGCATTGAGCCTCTTCGCCCCTTGAAGGTAGGCCAGGTTTTTGTGATCCGTCCAAATAATGAAGGGGAGTTCTGATCCCTCCAACCAGTGCCTCCATTCCTCTAAGGCTAACTTGATGGCCAACAACTCACGATCACCCACGTCGTAGTTGGCTTCGGCGGACGAGAGGCGACGGGAGAAGAAGGCACACGGGTGAAGTTTCCCATCGTCGGACGATCTCTGCGAGAGGACTGCCCCAACCCCAGTGTCAGATGCGTCGACCTCTACGATGAATTGTTTTGAGGTATCTGGATGGGATAAGATAGGAGCAGTGGAGAAGAGATGTTTAAGCGTGGAAAAAGCAAGTTCAGC